CCTCTTCAGCAGAGGGCCTCTAAGAGCCCTTGAGAGCCGCCTGTCTCCTTTAGTCTCCTCTGGAGCTAGGCCCTAGGCTGCTCAGCCTGGTGTGTGTGTGTGCATACGTGTGTGTGTGTGTGTGTGTGTGTGTGTGTGTGTGTCTGGAGAGGGTTACTAAGCCTCCCAGCCGCTCTGTCTCTGCCAGCTTTCTTATCCTCATGCCTGAGTTTACCATCTTACAGGCCAGGAGAGGGTGCTGGGCAGTGGGCTCTCTGAACTGAAGGAAAAGCCAGGGGCTCTCTTCTAGTTGGGCTGAGCCATGGTTCTTGTGGGAGGTGGGGCAGCCCTGAGTGCTGTGCCCCGCAGGGGCCATGACCGCCTCTCCTTTGCAATAAGTGAGGAGACAGAAGCTATTAATATAAGATGAGTTCACGGGCTCACAGCTTCCGCAGGCTGGAAAACAGGCTCCCAGGGCCGGGGGCTGCAGCAAGCCTCGTCTGTCAGATTCCCTCCTGCAGCCTGGAACCCACCATCCCCCAGCTTATTCCATGCCAAGATCTCTGCATACACAGACAGACACACACGGGCACACATGTGGGGACCAGGCACCTGACTGTTCAGAGACACATGCAAGCATGCATATATGCATCCCTGGGTGCATTTGCACGATTGTGCAGGCACACTTGATCTGCACACTACATAAAGCATTATACATACGAGCTTTATGTTACAGGGGTGCATGCTGGACCACTCACCTAAATATATATATTCTTGCACACATGTGTATACAGACTTACCCTTGTACATACATATAAACACACAGGACTGGATAAGCAAACCCATTTGCACACCACTGCACACTTATAAATATACATATATGAACCTACATAAATGTAAATAGGTGGTATTCATAATCATTTTAACATGATTGCATACAAGACCACATTCAAGGACTTAGATGCATCTACATGCTACTTCATACACAGTACACACACACACACACACACACACACACACACACACACACACGCTTCCTGCTGTTAGTGGTCAACAATCAGGAATCCATGGGCACACCTCTGGTTCTGCAGCACTGACAGGCCTCCACTTCCTCTTTGTCCCCTCCCCCAGCCTTATGACAGGCAGCAGCTCCTACTCCTGTCAACCCCATGGCTGCCTTCAGCTTCCCACCCCCTGGGGGTCCCTAGATCCCTGATTAACCCCCTCACTAATTGGCCACCAGCCCCTTGACTTTGCTGCAGGCCTTCTTGGGAGCTGAGAGTAAGGCTGTAAATTGGCTGAGCAGGATGGGTCCAGGGAATTGTGTACGTGTTGTGGGGAGAGGAACAGGAGAAAGGGATCTGCCTACAGCCCATCAGTTCAGCACTGACACCATACTTTCTCACAAGGGCATTCCTAGTTTACATGGACAGACACACAAAGTCATTCCTGTACAAAATCACACACACACACAAATATACATACATACCACGGGTGGGCATATGTAGGCAGGTTCCATCCAGCTCTCCACACCAAGGCAGACGAGCCCTTGCATATTCCTAAGTGTATTCAGTGTACCTACTAAGCACACGCTCAAACAAAACCTTACCTGTTCATTAAGTAAGTCACTGGTCAGACTTGTAGAAATCATTTATTAAAGATTTATTTTACTTTAGACAGAGTCCCAGGTAGTCCAAGCTGGCCTTGAACTCACTACACAGCCAAGGATGACATTAATCTTCGGATCCTCTTTTCCATCTCCCAAGTGCAGGAATTCATGTACCACCAAACCTGGTTTTATTATGGTATTAGGGATCAAACTCAGATTGATGTATTCTAGGCAAGCACTTTCCCTGAGTGAGTGCAGGTGCCCTCAGATTCCCTGCAGCTGAATTATGTGATTGTGATAGGTGCCCAACCTGGGTGCTAGGAATCAAGCCCCTGCCCTCTGCAAGAGCAGTAAGTGCTCTCAATTGCTGAGTCACCCAGTCCACAGACACTGTTTATGTATGTAAGCTCATACATAAACACACAGGACCTGAGGCTACAGCAAGGCCTGGGGTTCAATCCCCATTTAAAAAAAAAAAAAAAAGCCCAGACTATGGTGGCACATTCCTTTAATTCTAGCACTCAGGAAGCAAAGGCAGGCAGATCTCTGAATTTGAGGCCAGCCTGATCTACAGAGTGAGTTCCAGGACTACACAAAGAAACACTGTCTTTAAAAAAAAAAAAAAAAAAAAAAAATAAGGCCAGGTATTGTGGCATAGCGGCTGATACCTGGAATTTTAACACTTAGGAGGATGAGGCAAAAGGATCACAAGTAGTTTGGGGCCAACCTGGACTACAGAGACTTTGTCTCAAAATAAATAAATAAACAGCCACTTAAGCCAACTAATCACAGTCATGAATAATAAACTTGTGTGTATGCTCATATGCATACATAAACTAACTCAGGTGAGTGCACACACTGGTAGTCCAGGCCTGTGTGCACACCTCATTCATGTGTACATATTTAGATGAGCAAGCAAGCCAGCAGCCATAGGCTAGGGAGAGGCCCCTTTAGCTTGCTCACATCTCTGCATACAAGCAAGCCAGAGATTTACCCTGTGCAGGAGAAACAATGGAATCCACACAGACTCTAAGATGCACTTTCCCAGCCTCCCCGATGAATCCCCAAGTCTAGAACCTCCTCTGGGCTTGCCCCAAGTCTTCAGATAGCCAAAGGGACTCTGTCAGTGTTTTCTGAAGGAACTCCTGACTTTACCCATCAGCTCCAATCTCCTTATCTCTGGGCCCAAGCTCATAAGGTGCTGTGTTCTCTCGAGCATCAATGAGGTTTCTATGTCAACATCTGATGCCAGATTGCTGTGTGGTGCAGGGCAAGCTGCTAAGCCCTTCTGTGCCTTTCCACATTTGTACAATAGGAATCAAAGGCTTTAGGTGGGCAATCCTTTCCAGTCTGTCCCGAGGAAGCCACTGAATCCTTTACAGATGTGCTCTACTCAGGTGCACATCTGGAAGCACCTGAGTTATCCGCTTCAGCAAGACACTGGAACACCACAGTGGAAGGGCTGCACCCAGTGTCAGGCTCAATGCCTTGCTGTGCAAGTCCAGACAGAAAGCAGGGAGCTGCGAGCTGAGGAGGTCCTGCCACTTCGTGTGTGTGTGTGTGTGTGTGTGTGTGTGTGTGTGTGTGTGTGTGTGAGAGAGAGAGAGAGAGAGAGAGAGAGAGAGAGAGATGTGTAATTCCCTAGGGCAGGGTGGAGTGGGAGGGCATCTGCCCTGCTGTCCCACAGGAGGGCAGTTCTACTTGACTGCTCAGGCTGTTCAGGCTGTGTCCTTAAGTCTGAGGGCCTCCTCTGGTGCCCCACACCCTGGGCCTGGGAGAGGGAGGCCCTGAAATTGCTCCTCACACCATGAGAATGGTTGCCAATCACCCTGAGCAGAACTTCAGGAAATGGTGCCTGGCTGCCCTGGTGGAAAGGTGGCCAGGAGGGGGCAGTGAGCAACTGGCCGAGGCAGGCAGCCAGCACCATGGCTCAGGAGGACCGTTAGATGTGTTTGCAATTACGCCTGCTCCTGTGGCTGTGTGTGACTTGTGTCCTTGTTTTGCATAAGAGCAGAGCTCTGTACACAATGTGTGAGCGTGTTTTCTGGGCCTGGACTGCATGCTACTTACGGACAAATGTGTAAGTGAACCTGTACATGTGTGAATAGGGCAGGGTGTACCTGCATGGAGCCCATACATAGGGAACCCGTGTTGTCAAGGGCACAAGGTCCTTCTGCTCCAAAGGTCAAAGACGACTGGGGCTTCAGTCAAGCTTGCTTGACTTCAAAGAACAAAAATAACCCTAACCTGTTATTGCACCTGTAAAACTGAGCACTGGTGGGGTAGGTGAGGCAGATAAGAGCCTGAGACACTGGCAGTCCTCAACCTGCTGCGGGATAGACTGGTAAGCAGTGTAAATGGCGTAGCAGGCAGGGTTAGGCAACTCAGTGTACCTCTCTTGTCAAACAGGGGACTCGCACAATTAGCATCTGCTGCCTATAGCAGGTAGTGGGCCCTCCGTAAATGTCCATTTCCCCTAGTTCCAGGAGGTGAAGCAACTTGCACAGGGTCAGGGTTTCTGAGTGGCAGCAGTGGAGCCAGCATCCAGGCACAGGCCTCGTTTCCCAGAACCACATTCCTTCCCTCCCCTTGCTCCAAGGGCGGCTCCGACACCATTTTGTCTTCTGCCAGGGCGGGCGTCTGGCTGCCTGTCAGTCACCAGCTCCTGCGGCCAAGTGCTGACTAAACACAGGCCATGCGGGAGGGAAGCGAGGGGCTCTGTGCCCCCTCCCCGGCACCCCACCTCCAGCGATGAGCTCAGAGCGGCTGGCGCAGCACTTGCTGACAATTCAAAACTTCTGCCCCCTCTCCCGGGATGCCCGTGGGTGATTCTGTGAACAGCATGCGTGGTGACCCACGGCGCTCCGGACCCTGCTCCCTGTCGTCTCCCCGGGGCCACCCCACTGTGTCTGCTGGGCCCGGATCTGGGTGTCTGCTCATAAATTACCCCCGGGGACAGTAACCCACAGCAGCTGTGCTCCAAACAACCGTTGCTTCCTGGGTAGGTCATTTTGGGGAGTCAGAATGCAAACCCAGCTCCCTCGGTCTTCCTCAGGCAGGCAAGAAATGGGGCTTGGAGCAGCCTAAAACCTTTTTATCGGATTCCATTGTAAACCGTTCTATTTAAGGTAAGTTGCTTGGGTCTGTGAGGCAGACAAGATGCCGGCCAGATGTTGGGAGGCAGCATCAGCATTCAGTGTGCGCCTCTTCTGCCTGGTACAAGGAGCTGTGGGCAGCCAGCTCTAGGGCTGTCCTCAAAGAAGAGGACCTGTGCCTACAAACTAGCCAGAGGCCTCCTGACTTTGAAGCCCACCCATGCTGGACAACTTACAGAGCTCCTTCACCCACCTGTGGCCCTCAGAGCTGCTTCTTATGATCCCATCTCCCATGAAACACACACAGACACCGAAAGTGACTGGGTGACTACAAAGACTTTATCAAATTATTGAAAAGGTTGGCATTTAAAGTATTCATGCGCATACACAAGTTACAGGAAACCTTCAGGTTACTGGAGTACAAATATGGTACACACAATAAGCCTGGCAGTGATGCAAATGAAACCAGACTTGAAACAAAAATATTGGATGTCCTAGCCAGGCATGGCTGAGGCAGGGGGTCAGGAGTTCAAGGCCATCTTCAGCCACATAGTAAGGTCAAGACCGGCAACAGCCTACCTGAAACCCTATCTTAAAAAAAAAATTGTGGATGTTCTTTTACCTGTATGACGGGCAGAAGGGGGTGGCTTCGTCCCACTGCTCAGATCCCCCCTCAACCTTTGCGAGAAAAGGGTCCATTTTTTAGACAGTATTCCCACTATGTATTAGCTCATAGAAGTCTTGACATGGGCAACACCAAGAACTTATTGGAATATGTCCTTATAAATATATATGAGAGAAAACAAGGCACTTTGGGAACATGATAGCTTCCTCTCCTATGTGTGCATCATCTAGGCAGAAAGTAAAGATCAGTTAGTTTCTCAAGTCAATTAACTGAATAAAGTTAACACAGGAGCAGAATTGTTCTCAGTCTTCACTGAGGCCCTACTAAAGTGAACGAGGCAGGAAGCACAGGAGAAGCGCATCTCTGTGTAACACCTGGTCCCAGGTCGGATGGGCACCAGCCAAGCTCAAAGCTTAATTCCCCCTCCCCCAAAGGCTGACACATCTCCTGAGTTGGAGCGCCTGGCCCTGGCAGTGCTTCCTTCCCCAGGCCCCGAGGTCAAGTAAGGGCTGCAGCAGGAGGCAGTCCTAGTGCAGAGCAGGGACACGGTGGGAATGCTTAAGCAGGGTCACCAAAGCCACAGAGACCTCAATCTGTCCAAGCTGGCGCTAGAGAGTCAGTGGATCGGCGCCACGGGAAGAGACTTCACATTAGCCCTGACAGCACCGCCTCAGCTCTGCGGTGACATTGGCCAGGGTCGTTTCTGAGGGCGCTCAAGCTTCCACAGGAGGCAAGCCGGAGCCTGGGCCAGCTGCTCTGAGCCTCCAAGGGATCCCCCCCCACCCCCTCCCCTGGAATGAAATCATCTCACAGCCAAGGCAAAGCTACAAGTCACTTCTGACACTACCAACTGCAAGCTGGGCCCCTGGGCTGCAGGAACGGGGGCAGGCCCCCTGGGCTGGGCAGGGAAAGGAGGTGGCTCTGGCTTCAGCACTTAAGAGTCCTCATGGGCCACTGCTTTATGCTCTTCCCAGCAGCCTCAGCCCAGTTTAAACAGTCACTAAACTTTGTATTCTACACTCACAAGATTCCACAGACACACCCACCTACACCGGGTCCTTTATTATTTTAAAGGGCTCTGAGTTTAAAGAAGCATGTTTAAAAAAACAAATTTTTTTTTGGGGGGGGTACACATGCCTAAGTAGAGTCTGGAGGACCTCTCAGCTGCCTGGGTAACCAGCCCCCCACACTGAGGAGGCTCTGTAAGGCTGGGCTACAAAGCACAGAGCTGGGCTGCATGGATTTTAATGAGAGCGTCAGGCAGAGCTGTGCTGTTGCTCTCCGGGACTTGCAGATCATTACCAAACCAGCTGTAGGATGAGAGCACAGCACATCCAAACCCTAGGAGGTCACTGAGCTAATGATCTAATCCTACCTTCCGCAGACAGGGCCCCTCCCCATCTCCTCCCGCCCCCAGTCTTTCCTGGTGGACTCTGTCCATTCCAGAAGCCAGGCCAATACCGCCCCTTCAAGGTCGGAACAGAACCACAGTGAGCTGCTCTGGCTCCCTTTTATCGGAGAGCAGGAGGGGAGTAATTTAGTAAAAACCATTAGGCCCAAACCCTGGCCTGGCCAGGCCCCAGGACTTCTATTTGGAAGGACCACTGCCCTCCCCTGCCTCTCCAGCCCCCCGCTGGGCTGCAGCCAGGGTACCATCAAGTCATTTTAAGGTTCTAATGAAAGCACCTTCAGCTTCTAAGGCACAGGGTGGGAAACACGCACAGCATGGAGTTGAGTGCCAAACCCTGTGCCAGGCACTGGATTTGGGGGGTGGGGGAACACGGACACATGGAGACACATAGCACTCTGGAGTAGCCACAGCAGGAGGGCCTGCTGGCACCTGCTTGTTTAGTCCCTACCTCTGAGTTCAAGAAAGGAGGCAGAGGGGAGGGACTCAGCAAGTGCAGGCGACAGAGCCATGATTGCACTCTCCTCAAGCCGGAGGGGTTTATGAGGGCTTTGGCAATTACTACAACCATTTGCTGTGCTGGGTAGAGACAGATCCTGTTTCTCTTTGTTTCAGGCTCTGAAGCCAGAGAAGCTGATTTCAGCACAAGAGGCCACACAATAGTTGGGGCAGTAGAGAAGAAACCTTGCTGCTGGCCAGAGTTGCTCAGTTTTCCTGACTAATAGCACCCGTGTATTAGTTCTGGGAAGGGAGGTAAAGGGGGTCAGCATCACCATGCACAGCAAGGTGGAGGCAGGAAGAAGAACCCGTGTCCTTCTGCCTCTCAGCCTTCTCCATGGCTGCCAGGCCCCCCCAGGCAGGTACCTGCTGTGGCTGCCAGCCCAAGGGACTGAAGTTTCTACAGCTGGCACAACCTATGCTCAAATTGAGGAGACAAAAGGGGGAGGGAGCTGCAGTGAACTGCAAAGGCACCTGCCAAGGCTGGCTGCCCCACTGCTCCTCGGCTCTGCTCCCCCAGCACAGCTCCCATGCCACATGACTGGCTGGAGACAGACAGGGGAAATAAACGGTTACAAGAGAGGCTGCCACAGGCTGTGAGCCCTCCAAACGCAACCCCTGCATTTGAGAGCTCTGGAGTAGACAGAGCCAGGCTGTTCTGCCCAGACTCCAGCAGGTGCTCGTTATTTGGTCCCAGGAAACACAGGTGACTTGGAAACAGGAAGCCTGGGCTCTTGTTCTATCACTATCTGTGTGACCTTGAGAGAGTCACTCCTCATCTTGGCCTCAGCATTCTGAGCTGGCAGGACCCAAGGTGTTCCATTCTCTTCCAGTTCTGTGGTGCCACACCTTCAAGTTTTGCTCCTGACAGTCAGCAGAGGCCCAGGTCCCTGTGTGTCAGGGCTAATTTGGTCATGAGTATTAGAGGTTAAAACTGGGCTGTGCAGTCTTAAGGCACCTGGGGTGAAGAGGGCATTCAGAGGACACCCAAACACCATACTCTCCAAGAGGGAGCATGGGAGGAAGGCCACAGCCTCAGCCTTCTGAAGGGCATCACTTCTGGGCAGGAGTGAGATAGTCTTTAGAGGCCTGATGCCTTCTGGAACAAAGGCTGAACAGAAGCAGGCCTACCTGCTGCAGAAGGCTGAGTGTGGGCAGGGCTGTGACAGACGTCTGCTTGCCAGGGCACTTGGCCTGCTAATTTATAGTTTCAGGGCACAGAAAAGGGACCAGCTGCGTCAACACAGGCTGTACCCACTGCTGTAAGACCAGGAGGTGGACAACATTATTTGAAGTAGCTAAATTCAAGGGTTTTGAGGAAGGCCATGGGTTAAAACGGTTATCAGGGAAGGCACTATCTCCAGCTGAAACCCAAGCAAAGGGATCTGCTGTAGGGTTTTTCCTTCCTGTCAATATATAACAGTCACTTGAGGGGAAGATGGATCAGCTCAGCTACAGACCCCCAGGAGCCTACAGGCAGGAACAGGGGAAGAAGTACATGGGAATTTGCAGGAAGCACTCGGATAGATCTTTGGTTGTTCCAGAGAAGGCTTTGGCCCCTTGCAGTTTTTTGTCCTTCCTTTCTTCCCCCCATGAGACTGTTACAGTTTGTATCGGAGAAGGCAGGTGGGAGGAACAGAAAGAGGAATGTGGGCAACAGGCAGAAAGTTAATCCGACCAGTCGTCTTCATCAAATTCAGAGGAATCATCTTCCGAGTCACTGTACTCGACAGCAATCCGACGGGACAGGATGGTGGCCACATCATTGCCCACCACATCCCGCTTCTCCTGTTCCCGCTGCTCTTCAACCCTTCGCAGCTGAAAGCCTGGTAGGAGAGGGAGCAGGGTTAAGAAGCACAGTCTTAGTCCCACAATCCTTTGGGACTGAGCATGATCAGGACAGGATTATAAAGGACAGAGAAAGATGGACTCCTACAGAAGTGAGAAAAAAAGGAAAGGCTGGTCCTATGGCGTCAGCTTCTCTGGGTTGTGGGCATCTCTGAAAGGAAGCCCAGTGTTCTTCCTGGCTGTGGGCATTGAGGCTTCTGAAGGTAGAGTACCAGTATACCTGGTCAGGCAAGCGCTCAGACTGCTCAGTCCTAGCTACAGTGGGGCTCAGAGGATTACCAACAGAACAAACCACACCTAGCCCTTGGGAACCAAATCTGACCCCAATGAGTAACAGAAGAGGGGGAGGAGGGAGGGAGGTGAGGAGGGAAAGAGGGGGGAAAAGGAAGGAGGGGGAGAGAGAGAGAAAGAGAGAGAGGAGGAGAAAGAGGGAAGGAGAGAGAGAGAGAGAAGGTAGGAGGGAAGTTGATGCTTGGGAGAGGAGAAGGGAAGGAGAATAAAGAAAGAAAAAGCTAAGAAGAAACAGGAAGCAGGCGGGGAGAGATGAGACAGCCGAGAGGGAGAACATAGACAGCTGCAACCGAGTCTGGCTGAAAAGTTGGCCGATGGGACAGTGACTCATTTTCATCTGGGGATCTTTTCCCAAATAAAAATATGTGCGTAAACACATATAACGTTATTTACTTCAAGGAATTCTAGGGTCTGAGCTTAAAAAATAATTCACGATCAACAAATATAGAAAGAACTCTGAATCCCAGTATCTTTAGGAAAGTCCCACCCTGAGCCAGAGGGTCTAACCTCTCAGCTGGGAAAGCTGCTGCCTTGAAAGGGTCAAGATCCTGCCGCACCATCCCAGCTAAGGGGGTGTCCTCAGACCACCACTGGATTACCTTGGCGGATGGCAGAAAGCAGGTCACTACGCGCATCACTCACGGCAGGCAACGAAGACTTGGGCTTGGTGGCATCAGAAAGAGGTGGTGGTGGTGCAGCAGGCTGGCCATCAGCACCACTGAAGGGGAGAGGCGGGGGCCCTGGAGGGGGAGGGGGAGGAGGAGGGGGAGGAGCACCTCCAGAGGGTTGGGACAAGGGAGGTGGTAGCATTGGGTAATCAGCTGCTGGTGGTGGGGGAGGTGGTGGAGGAGCAGCAAAATCTGGGTGAGGAGGGAAAGATGGAGGTGACGGTGGTGGAGGGGTCCCAGGAGACCCGAATCCTATAGATGGTAGTGGAGGTGGCACACTCATTGGAGGAGGAGGGGGAGGGGCAGGGGGAGGAGAAAAGCCAGGTTTGGGACCTGGTGGAGAGCTCAGAGGAGGAGCTGGGGGTGGATGGCTAGGGCTGACCATGCTGGTTCTTTTGGGTCCAGCCAGGACAGATCCTCTTTGGATGTCTGCAGGGTAGCTGAAAGGCCAAAGACACAAGAATCACCAGCATAGTCACGGTGCCAGCCCCCGCCCAGAGACAGGCTCATCTGTAAGCTCAGGCCCTTCTTAGCTGACTCCCATTTCGCTCTGCCTCAGACAGGGAAATGGTCCAAACAGATGACCAAGGGGATGAGCAGCGCTGTGGGGAAGGGGCCGTCCAGCAGAAGGGGAGCACAACTGCAGACTGACAGAGACTGCACCCTGGCAGGAAGCCTGGCAGAGACAGCAGTTCAGGTCCCTTTGAATCTTTTCAGGAGATGGCTCCTTCCTGAACCCTCCTGGAGAGTCTCCCATGGGTGGCTGTCAGTTTAAACCTCTAGCTAGACCTAAATACATATAAGAAAGAGCTAGAATAAAAATTCAAGTCCTCTTCATCCACTGGGCTCTGTTTCTTACTCTACGAATGCTACTGAATTTGGTGGGGGCAGATGTCCATTTGGAGTTGGAGATAGGACCTTATTATGTAGTCCAGGCTGTCCTAGAACACATGACAATCTCCTGCCTTAGCCTCCCAAGTGTTAAAATTATGGGCTTGAAAGTCACATGCCCAGCTTTGTCTGTCTGCTTGAGACAGGGTCTCACTATGTAGTTCTGTCTGGCCTCACAGAAATTGGCCTGCCTCTGCCTCCTGAGTGCTGAGATTAAAGGTGTGCGCCACTACTCTCAACTCCTGGCTAACTCTTGACCCAGGTTTGAAAGAGGATGAAGGCTTACTTCAGGGATCAGATCTGTGAGGCTCCAGCTTCAAGGTCTCAGGTTACAGGTGAAGAGGAGAGGTTTTCTTGTGTCCCCTTGCACCTGCCCTGCACTGAGAGCTACTGCACCTTACTACTTGGAAGTGCTGGCTCAAGCCTTTAATCCCATGCACACCCAGGACAGACTGGAAACCACACAGTCTCTATTTCCCCTTTCCCTTGGTGTGCTCTCCCTCACTCACCCACCCTCACCTCCTGCCACTATGTAGTCCTAATGGCCCAGCACTTACTATGTAGTCCAGGCTGGCCTTAAATTTCTTATCCTCCTGCCACCCGGTGCTGAGATGACTTGTATGGTTGGCCACCACACTTAACTCATGCTTTAGGGTAAACTGAGTGGAGAAGTGAGCCGAGGCAGCTGATTACAGGGTCTCCCCATTCCCTGTACCCCCCACTCCTCGCCTCTTTATGAAAGTTGATGTGCACCTAATACGGGGTAACAACCATTCTGCCAATACTTCATAAATGGTATTCCTATCTGCACACTCTGGTCTGAAGTCACTTTAGTGGTCCTGACCTAGATTTTAAATCTTACTTTGGTCTTGACTGTTTTACTACCCAGGATGCATGGAAGAGGTTCTACCATTTACCTGAATTCTGCTGGCGGGGGAGGCAAGTTGTCTTCAGAGAAGGAAGGGGAAGGTGAGGAGGCAGAGTCTGACTGTGGAGGTGGTGGGTAGCTAGCCACATCCACATTTTCAACAGAGCCGATGCTGCCATTCTGGTACACCAAGGCAGATGAATACCTGGGAACACACCAATGTCAAAGTTGTCTTTTAAAGAATCTAGTTCCAGACAAAGCAGCAAACTGTGCTTAACCATACAGAGCTTGAGCGCTCTCTTTTCTTATTAAAAGATACCATGTAAGCTGGGCGTTGGTGGCGCATGCCTTTAATCCCAGCACTTGGGAGGCAGAGGCAGGCAGATTTCTGAGTTCGAGAGTTCGAGGCTAGCCTGGTCTACAGAGTGAATTCCAGGACAGCCAGGGCTACACAGAGAAACCCTGTCTCAAAAAAACCAAGAAAAAAAAAAAAAAGAAAAAAAAAGGATACCATGTAAGTGCATTTGACACAAGGATTTTTAGGGTGGAGCCAAATAAGGAGGTTTCCCATGTGTTTCCTGTTATAGCAAAATTATACTTTAGGCTAGGTGTGGTAGAATGTGGCTTTAGTCTCAGCACTGGGGAAGCAAAGACAGGTGATCTTTAGGACTTTGAGGCCATCTTAAGTTCCATGTCAGCCAGGGTCATAGAGTAAGATCTTGTTTATTTAAACGCTCTCCTAAATATTAGGTACAGATAAACCTGACTCCCCAAACCTTAAGGCAAAGAATGAAGCCAAACGCCACAGGTTAGTTACAGACACATGACTGGCAGCCTATTTCTGAGGTAGACAAGGCCCTGGAGTCTGGAGTGTTAAAGGCAAAAGAGGATTTGATTGCAGATGCAAGCCAAGGACGAGTGCAGGCTGCCATGAGGCAGTCTATATGATTTCGCTACCATGTCCTTTACCACATAAGCTGCTGCTTAAATGCTAGAAGCATTGCTTGATGCTAGAAGCCTGGCAGCGGTGGCAAACACCTTTAATCCCAGAACTCACGAGGCAAAAGCAGGGGATGGCTAAGATCAAGATCAGCTTGGTCTACAGAGTGAGTTCCAGGACAGCCAGGGCTACACAGAGAAACTGTCTTGAAAAACTGAAAGAAAGAGGGCGGGGGTGGGGGGAGCAGTGTTTTAGAGCTGGCTACATGGAAACCCATTCGTCAGCACATTAGGTGCCCCGGGTGAACACCAAAACTCCATACACGCATGAACACATAAAGCAGGAAGCCTCCATGCCAGCTTAAGTACACTGGGCGCCACCTAGCAAAGCTGGCCTGTTCTGCCTCCTCTTCCTCTCCCTTCAGCCACTGCTGGGCAGAGTTCATTGAACAGGTCCCAGGAACAGAATTGTGGGGACATAAATAAATCAGATGATACTCTAATATGAAAAGCCCTCAAACCTGGGCACATATCTTGGACAGCTCCACCCACAAGCGTGCTCATAGAGCCTAGCCACGCAGCCAATCCCAAACCTTCAGGAAAGTGAGAGATGGGGGTGGAGGGAGGCTAGTTCCTCAGCTTCACTACCCCAGCCTCAAAATCAAGCCATATACTTTTGACAGTTAGCATTTATGGCCTTAAGAGTCACTAATCCTATGCCATGTGCCTATCAGAACAGGATGGGACTGTGGAACAAAATGGCCCCTTACTGGGCAGTGAGGTCAATGAAGGCCCCTTTAGCACTGGTTTCTCTGTAGAAAGGTTCATTTCCACTGTCTTCCTTATGCTTATGAAACAAACCCCTGAATCCAGGATGGACAAGTGTCACATGTGTCAAGATTTCCATGGTAGTTACTCTAAAAGCAAGAGCTCGTCTGTCCCTTTTATCACTACTCAGCCCCCAGTATGGGCTGTGCATATCTGACAGCCAGGTGCAATGCATTCAGAGGAAAAGCCAGGGTGACTCTCACACCAGGAAGTCATGGTGACTTGGCTTTGAAGGTCACAGGGGTCAGACATCAGCATAAGCATCAAACCAAGCTTTAAAACCATTCTGCCTCTTTAAACCTCCAGCCTGAATTGGTATTGGGAAAACGGGTCAGGATGCCATCTCCCACTTTTCAGAGAGATGTATTTGCCTCCACTGTGGCCAAGCAACCTCTCCATACTGACTTTGAGGTCTGCATTCAGTCCTTTGGCTAGCCTCTCTCCCAAGACTGGCTGAGAATTTGTCTTGGTAACCTGCACGGCTTGCCTGCTCTGTCCCTCCTGTGCCCAGCTGAGCTCCTGAGTACAACCTTCATGTGTGCTCTGGAGGAAAGGGTTTTCAAGACCACATTTCTTTCTTTTCCAATCTTTCCTCCGAGACCTTTAGTAGACTGGTTTCTGGCAGAGTACTGTCATTAGAAACCATGGGTTGTTCCTTTCAGACAAGTCCAGTCACCTCATTTAAATTGTTGAGTCTCTTGACTTATTTAGAAAATTTAATCACCAGATTTTAAAAGTAATCAATTAATGGTATATTACCCTAAACCCTACTGCCAGATTTGGTCCTGAGGTTCTCAACCAGTCCAGAGGATGCTATAAGCATCACCTACCCAGAAGGTCCCAGCTTCTCCTTGGACTCTACGAATTCTTGACCCATTTTCATCTTCTCCCACTCTTCCTTTCGAGTCTTGATTTTACGTGGGTTCACATTCCCTCTATTTGGATTATCTTTCTTTTCTTTCTATAATGAAAAGGAACAGAAAAGCCTTTGTAAAACATTTTCCAAGGTGCTTCATTAAAATTCTACCCATCTTCATGGACACACACTCATGAGATGATTTGCCTAGACAACACATGATAACGGCAGAATTTACAGAACTACCAGGTCTGCAGTGACCTAGAGGCCGTCCAATTCAAACCACCTCCCTGGCGGAACAGTTGTTCAGTCTCACACAAGCACCTCTAACAGGAAGCCACAGCTATCTCTCTGGGTAATTGTTTCATATCTTTAAGCGACTCTAATTGTTAGAAAGTTAGTAAACAGTTATTTTTTATTTGCCAAGACACAGAAGTCAGTCAAGGGATGAAGACTGACAGCTCCAGAGATCTGGGGCAGATAGAGATAAACAGTTAAAAACAAAAACCAATGAAGGATTTTTCCGGCTCCTGCAGCTGCACTAGCCTCTGGCACTCTCTTGGGCCTGCTGACAGCCATGCTAATGGGATTGCTAGGTCAAAGCTAGCAGGTCGCACAGCACCAAGAGCCTAGGGAGAGAGAAGCATCACCACAAACCAGGCAGTCCTGGCCCCGCCCATCCAGTAGTGAAGGAATTAACCTGTTATAAATCAAAGATTGCAGAACCTCGTGCTTGTCTCTGAGAAATGAGCTGCAAGATGGGACCAGGCTAGCTGAGTGTCCAGCAGGGTCAGGTGCAGAATGCAAGAAAAATAACTGGTGAGTAGAAAAGTCCATTCTAAAGCTCAGCCCAAATATACTCAGTTGTTACACAGTGCCAGGGAGCATGCTTATTTTTGGTGTGAACACATTCTTTTGTTTTTTTTTTTGAAGATTTTTACCTGGCATCCGAGCAAGCAGTCACTTGGAATTACTTCACATAAGCCTGGCTTCCTTTTTCTCCCCCTCTACAACTGTGCCCACTGATGTGCAGAATAGAGGCCCCTTCCCCTCACCCTATGCTTTCTCTTCTCTTTCATGATATCCTTGGTGTCCTGCAGCATCTTCTCCTTCCAAAGATCAAAGAAGTACGAAGGGTTGGTGTAGAATTTGAGTGCCTCCTTTCCATCATCCCTGGGATAGAAATGAAGACAAGTAGCTGTCAGTAGAGAGATGAGCTCCCAACCAAATCCAATATCCCAAACACCAACCAGTTAGCAGTTCTTACAGTAAGGAGTCAGGACGCCATTCGAACTGACTGCATGTTTCTGCTCCCACACCAGATTCTCAATGGCCCTAACAGTGCTCCTCTACTCCTTACAAACCTCTGCCATACCTTCAGTTCCCAGGCAGGAATCTACATGGTCAGGCCAAGAACAGGGTAGATCAGTGGGAATTCTGATTATTTCTAATTACCTGCAGTCAGGACAAAGATACCTGGATACTGTCTATCTCTAAGGAGACTTCTTGCTGTTGGTTCCCCTTCCCTACTTATTCCCAAGGACTCTGTAGAAAGCACTGAGGTCTTTTCTACCAACCTGAAACCTGTACACTCGTGTGCTTGTATACAATTGCTCTTCTACACACAGATAAGGAACTAAGCACACTGCTACTTCTTGTTCCCTTGTAGAGTAGTTCAGCATCCATAATTATTGCAAGGAGACCCACTGAGCACAAATGGCCAACTGTTTTAAAACCACAAGATCTACCAGGAGGCAGGGGCAGGTGGATCTGAGTTCAAAGCCAGCTTGGTCTACAGAGAAAAAGAGAGTTCTGGACAGCCAGGACTACACAGAGAAACCCTGTGTCAAACAACAAAAAACCCACAAGGTCTTAGTGGGTATGGCAATACACAGTACAGAGTGAGCTACTAAGTAATAACTGTTTGCATACTCCGTGGTCCTGACTAGAGTCTTCTACTTTGGTATGGGGAAGCTTCCACTGTTCAGAAAGTGTGTGCTTCAGGGTACAGGATTATTGTTATCTTCTGAAATAAAAGAGCCAGAATCCAAAAGGCAAAGAGAGAAGCATCAGATGTTCAAGGCCAGCCCACACTATGTAGAGAGAATGTATCACAAAGAGAACTACACACAAAACATCTAAAAGGCTGGTCTGAAGACAGCCTGGTATGTATACAAGTTCTAGGTCACCCAGGACTATATAGACAGACCCAATCTTTAAAAAAAAAAAAAAAAAAAGAGCAGGGTGGTGGTGGCTCACGCCTTTAATCCCAGCACTTGGGAGGCAGAGGCAGGCGGATTTCTGAGTTTGAGGCCAGCCTGGTCTACAGAGTGAGTTCCAGGACAGCCAGGGCTATACAGAGAAACCTTGTCTCGAAAAACAAAAAACAAAACAAAACAAAAAACAAAACAAAACAAAAAAAAACCCCTCAAATCAACCAACCAAAACATCTGAAAGACAATTCAAAACACGAGGGTACTTCTAGATCAACATTAATAGTTCCTTTTTAAAAATGCTTTAGATTTATTTTGTTTTCATTTAATATACGTGTATGTGTGTGTCTCTGTGCTGTGCACATATGTATGTGGGTGCCTATGAAGGCCAGAAGGGGGCGTAAGAGCACCTGAAGCTAGAGTTACTGACAGTTGTGAGTTGTCTGCTCTAAGTGCTAGGGACTGAATCTGCAAGAGCAGCAAATGTTCTTGAGCATTGAACTTTCTCTCCAAGCCCCGACAGTAACAATTTTTATATTAACTATATCTTGCTCTGAGTTAGAGACACCACTGCTTGTTTCTGTTAGGCTAACTCCAGATAACAGCGAGGAGATACTAATTCTGGCAGTGTGTGTCTAATAAAGAAAATAGTTTTCAGAAAGATGAAATATCTCAATATTATTTGTTAACCCTATCCCACCTTACAAACACTCTATCATATGGTTTTCATACTATGAGGTCTGTCAACCCTTTCACAACACAACACTACCCCTAAACTCAATCAGACTAAAGCATGACAGCCCGGGGGGGGGGGGGTGTGCAACACTTTGTATACTAGTAACAAAGGGCAGATACTCTTCTTGATCTCTGTGAGAAGCTACCATGCACCTACCTGAGGTTCTCTGGACAGATTCACAGAGGTACACTCACACTGCGTACCCATGTCTGACAGATAGCACCCACGTCCAGCTACCTGTAACTACTTTTTATGGATACAAGCAAGATAAATATTCCCTTTCTACTTCTGCTCAGTTTGTCTGTACAAGATGACAACATCTTGTACAAATCACCAGAGAGAGGACTCTAGGTTGTCTTTAAGCCTACTTCTTCCTTTTCCATGTCTACCTACAGCCGGGTCGGTCCTTGCAGAAGAAAACATCCAAAGGATGTTCAAAATGAAGTGAATGGCACTCAGGTGGAAGGATACTAATACTCTCCACACTTTGGAAGGGCCCCTCTGAGCCTAGAGCAGCCAGTATGAAGCTGGTCCCACTAACTTGCCCAAACATCTGGTAATTTAGAGTTTTCTGAGAAAGTGAAAACCTGGTTAGAATGTGGCCCTTGGGAGTCTATGTGCAGGACTGCTTGCTAACAAGTCCTCTTGCTTCTGTAATAACTAAATTCCTTGGATGGAATCCAGATGGACTTGCCTTTACCAAATTAAACTCTGCAGCATCGACGGTACAGCAAACTATCAATATATAGGAGATGCAGCATGACTTTCAGAGTCCGAACAAGACTGAATCCTGTCTTTGCTGGGGTAGGCAGGAAGTTCAATTCTGTCCTCTGATATGAGCACTATCTTTAGAGATTTTAGACAATGTCGTTTGTAATCAGACACCCCAACACACACACACCACAGTTACCTGTAAGGACTTAGATTGTTAAGAGGGGGAGGAGCGTCACAGCTGTTATAGGTCTCTAAGACGGGCACTGGGAGAGAATTTCTGTCAAAAAGCTTCTGGTCTTGGATGGTAGAGCTTCTGAAGGCCTTTCGAGTGTTGATTCCTTGTAGTGACACTGAGAGAACACGGAAGGCATTAGAAAATGGACGACAGGCTATTTGAGCAAACACTGAGTCACACTGTCGGAGACGACTCAGCTGCTGCCTTTCTTGGCTGCAGCCGTCTGCAGCCAGGTTTTTTTTTTTTTTTTTTTTTTTTCCTTCCTCCTCTGGGGAAGCCCCACGAGGCTGTCAGCAGCCCAGCCATTTCATGACTGAACAGATGAAGCAACACAAAGGTTTACTATGTGGCCAGATCTTGCAGGCCTCTCCTTAGGTGAAACGAATCTTCCAAGTACTTTTATGGTAGCAAAATACCACTGAGGGAAAGGAAACTTGAGAACAAGGGAATTGGGGAATGGAAGAAAGGGAGTGTGGTGTGTGGTAAAGGTAAGAAGGTTTCTTTACACCACCTAGGCTTATGTCGCTTCCAAGTAGACGTGTATCAGTCTCTCTGATCTCTCCTCTTGCTTTTTAACAAACCAGGGGCAGGAGTCTCAGGCACTGCTCAGCAGAGCCTGCAGCTCTGGCTCAGCCTCCTTACCTTCCTCTTCCTTGGGATCCAGCTGAGTGACTTTAACTTGTACTCGGTCAACCCGCTCAGCAAGGGAGTTTACTCGGGAGGCAAAGGCACTTGCTTGAGTACAAATCTCTCCGAAAATGTCCTCTGCATATTTACCTAGAAAGAGCAAACAGCAAGTCACTAGTGCACAGGAGTGAGAGGAACAAGCCCAATGACTAAAGAGTGTATCATCCACCAAACACATACACATGCTTGTTCTTGGAGAAAGAGACAGACTCCACAGCCTGGTCACTCTGTGCGTATATAGGCCCTAACTAATAGAACCCCTTTGGCAAATTCTGAACAAACATGAAATTCAAAACAGGTTGAACAAAATCAAAAGGTGCAATGTCAACAAGTTAGTCCCGGAAGAGCAGACAGTATATGCAAACATTTGTCCTTGGCTCTCAGCCCCTCCTGTTCTGTAAAGCACCTTGTAAAATGGCTCTGAGAGCAGACTGGGAGTTTAAGAGGAACAACCAGGTGGCCATGCGTAATACACTAAATTACTTCCTCAGTAGAATTTCAAAAGCCCACTGAAAACCAAGATGTGGGTATCTCTAAGGGGCCAGAACTTCCCTTCCCCACCCCACATAGAGATCCCAAACTTCTAAGGGTGAAAAGGTCACCTTAGATTCTCTAACCCACAGCTTTCAAAGTCTTTGCTCCAGGTTACAATCCTTCAAATCTACACCCCAGGGAACAAGTGAAAAGCTGAGATATTCAAGCCCTCCCCGAAAAACAACAGTCTTTTCCCACAAAGTCTTACTTTTTAGAACAAGAAGAGTTCTGTACTTTCAGCTCTGAATGCAGGGAGAATTTGCAGCCAAAGAAACAGCAATTTGGAATACCTCCACACTGTTATTCTAAGCCACAAGGTACTTTCTTGCTGGGAACGGGAAGAGGTATGAGTGGGTAAATCACTACCTCGACTGTTTACTCACAAAGCAAAGGCAGACATAAATGACTGCCCAACCCGACGATATTTTGAGACCTATTTAAAGTAAGGTCTCATTTTTTTTTCCTTTAGCTTCTAAGCTTAGGACGTATTTGAGGGGAGATTAGGCTAACCTAGACTGGAAGGGCAAACCACACCCTCAGGGTAAACTGCAGTTAACTTATCCAGGGGAACCCAGAGGACAAGTGCACCGTGAGCTCCTAGTGCATTCAATAAGTCAATGAGTCCCTCATTCTGCATACTGCATGGTCGCATGCAGCAACAGTGAGGAGGAATTCCTGGAACTCAAAGGACTTGAAAGGCCAGCATGCTGCGTCTTTGCTCTGCAGGCAGAGGATCCTGTCTGATATGTTGATAACACGGCAGAGTTCCAGCTCCACCAAGTAATGAAAAATTGTGTTTCGAAAGAAAAAGCAAAGGACTATGCAGCACTATGCATGGAAAATGGACCAGCCTTAAAAACACCCAACTGTGGTGGCTCACACCTGTAATCTTAGCACTTGGGAGGCCAAGGAGGAGTGCTGTTTGTTCAAGGCCAGCCTGGGGTACATAGTGAGACACTGTCTCAAACAAAATCAAAAATTCAACTGCTCTGGTAGAAAAGAAAAAAATACAAGTTAACCTGTCTTTCTGTCTCCCAGAGAAGACTCAGATTTTCTGTTCTGTAGTAGAAGGGTGTGTGGCAGTGGGGCATCAGGCAAAATCTCACAAAAGACTTCAATATTCAAAATTGATAATTCTTTTTTTGAGACAGGGTCTCACTATGGAGCCCTGGCTGGCTCAGAACTTGCTGTGCAGACAAGATCTTTGAAACCTGTGAGTTAGAAAACATAAAGTGAACTTCTCACCATGAGAAGTTCTGCAGCCCTGCGTCAGGTGGGGATAAGTTAGAGATACCTTCATCTTGGTTTGAAATTCTACTGAAGAAGTAATTTCTCATCCAGTGTATTCATCATGGACACCTGGCTGTTCCTCTTAACTCCCAGGCTGCTCTCCAGAGCCACCGAACGAGGTATCTTTGAACCCAGAGCCTGCCTGCCTCTGCCTTCCAAGTGCTCGGATTAAAGGCCTGTGCTCAGCTTTCCTTTTTTCTTTTCTTTTTTTTTTTTTTTGAGACAGGGTCTCTCTGTGTAGCCCAGGCTGTGCCCTGTAGACCAGGCTGGAGTAAAGGTGTGCACCAGCACTGTCTGGACTCTTCCTCCCAGTTGTGAAGAGTGAGGAGGCATGTGAAGGCTTTCCCACATCAGGTCAGGCCCTGAGCAACTCAGGATCACACTGTGGAACATGGAGAGAGCAGTGGACCTCAAGTCAGAAGACCCAGACTATTCAAGCTGAGATTCTTATTTTTAGACACTGTCTCGCTACATTCCCCTGGCTGGTTTCAAATTTACTTAGTAGACCAGGTTGGCCTCAAACTTGCCATGATCTCATCCTTTTCTTCCTCAGCACTGAGATGACTTGCACATCACTGTGCCCAGCCTATACCTCAGTTGTCTCTCTTATGCTGAAATCCTTCTTCTTAATATTTATTCCTACCTATGTGTATGCGTGTTTCTGTTTGTTAGTATGCACATGAGCATGTGGTTGCCCACAGAGGACAGATGAGGGTGCCAGATCCTTTGGAACTGGAGTTACAGGAAGTTGTAAGCCACCATGCGGGTGTAGGAAATCAAACTCTGGTCTAAGAACTACAAGTGGTGGCTGGGCAGTGGTGGTGCACAACTTTAGTTCAAGCACTTGGAAGGCAGAAGGAGGTGGATCTGAGTTCAAGGCCAGCCTAGTCTACAGAGTGAGTTCCAGGACAGCCAGGGCTACACAGAGAAACCTTATCTTGAAAAAAACAAAAACAAAAACAAAAACAAAAAACAAACCTTCCCCCTAATAAAAGAATTGCAAGTGTCCTACTGTTTGCTATATTGTTTTTTGAAACAGGGTATCTCTATATAGCTTTGTCTAGCCTCAAACTCAGAAAGACCCATCTGCCTCTGCTTTGGGGGTTTTGGGATACATTGTATCACAGATCTGAGTGCAACAAGTACTCTTTTTTTTCCCTTAAGATTTATTTATTTATTATATTTATATGAGTACACTATAGCTGTCTTCAGACACACCAGAAGAAGGCATTGGATCTCATTAGAGATAGTTGTGAGACACCATGTAGGTGCTAGGAATTGAACTCAGGACCTCTGGAAGAGAAGCCAGTGCTCTTAACTGCTGAGCCATCTCTCCAGTCTGGAACAAGTACTCTTAACAGCCAAGTCATCTTTTCTGCCCTGTGCTGTAGAGAGAATATGTTGTGTATTGTATGGAGGCATCTCTCCCGCCCTGTGCTGTAGAGAATATCTTGTATATTGTATGGAGGCATCACCTGTCAATGAAAAAGACTATGGCCTATGGCTTAGGGAGAAAATGAAGATGAGACACCCGGGAGGAAAAAGGATTCTGGGATAGAGCTGAGGCAGGAAGAACGGAGGAGATGTACGCCTGGTACCTGAGCTCAGGTAACCAGCCACACGGCAAAATATAGATGAGAACAATGGAAAGAGCAGCAGGCTATCTTAAAGTTATGATCTAGTCAGAGAAGAGCCTAGCTAGATGGCCAAGGTATCTGTAAATATATTTTGAGTCTGAGTCTTATTTCTGGGAGCATGGGACTGGAATGTAGGCAGTCACGATCTCTCAGATTTAGCCTCACCTGTAAACTGGGGTGTGGTTACATCCTCATCACATTATCAGACAGATTACATAAGCTGGCAATCCAAGTTGTCACAGTGAACTTCTGTCTTATGTTGCTCAGCCATGGAGACAATTTTTCAGAGTTCAACTATCTAAGCCAGCATGGAGGCTTCCCCAAGCCCCGAGAGGCTGCAAGGATGACGTGGTAGAGTCACTTGAGCCCATGAGTTCCAGTGAAGCCCAGGAATGATAGCAAGACCTTGTCACAAACCAAATGACAATTAAATACCCTAAATTCCAAGCTTAGAGGAACCTCAAACCAAATTCAGAATGATGATGTTCAGTTTACTCTAAAGGACAGCTTCTCAGCTGCCACAACATCAGCAGCGGTGAAGGACAGTGGAAGACTTAGACCTAAACTGTTTGCCATAGTCACATCATGTCCTGAGAACTTTTAACTCCAATTCCAATCAGATTTGATACTTTCTATTCTTTAAATGTAAAAAAAAAACTACTGCAATTTCTGGAAACAGAAGTATGATATTTCAAAAAGACGAAGTCAGAGCCACCCTTTACCCAATGCCAGAACCTAGGAACGCAATTTCCTACAGATTCAGACTGGGTTCCACCCTCCTGGATGGGCACAATATTGGTCGAAAGTGCATGCTGAGTGAGGCTGGGCATGGTGGAGAATGCCTTTAATCCCAGCCCTTGGGAGGCAGGGGCAGGGAAATCTCTGAGTCTGAGACCAGGCTGGTCTGTGGAATGTGCTAGGGGTGCCTGGGGAGAGTGGAAGGGAGAGTCTGGAGTGTGGTTGAGATGATCAAGATACACTTCTTACATACATATATGAAATTGTCAAGGAATAAACAAAACACACTCTATTAATTAAATGCAATTCAGTAAGAAGAACACAGACAATTTGTGTTATGGGGGTTTGCAGTAATATAGGTATGTACTAAGCATGTTCAGGGGTAATTATCCCAGAGCTGGAACTGTTAGCTATAGGAGCCGGTATGTAGGAGTCAGGACATTCAGCAAGCGGGGGCGCCCGCCCCGCCGGCCCAACACCCCACACTGATAATGATGGGGTAGAAGCACTGAAGAACAAGGCCCAGAAGACAGACATGATAGCATATGCCTCTATCCCAGCACTAGGAGCAAAGGCAGGGAGTTCCAGCCTGTGGAGGACACAAGATAGCCTTTGAGAGTTGGTTCTCTCCTACCATGTGGGCTCCAGGGACTGAACTCAGACTGCTGGGCTTGGCAACAGCCACCTTTACTCAACGGGTCACCTCACTGGCCCTCTCTTCCCTATTTAAAAGAATTTTTATTTGAGTATTGTAAAATGGGAAAAAATGGATCACAGAAGGTAAGAGTAGAAAGGAAGATAGGACTTTATGCTAGGCCAAGGAACTTATATTATTTCATAGGATTTCTTTCTTTTCTCTTCTTTTCTTTTCTTTCTTTCTTTCTTTCTTCCTTTCTTTTTTTTAAAATGTACTTTTCAAACATTTATTAAGCTAGGCCACTGGCACAAACCTACAGTCCTAGCTATTTGGGAGACTGAGACCAAGGTAAACCAGGGCAACTTAGCAGGACCCTATCTTCAAATTAAAAAGGTAAAAATAAAAGATATGTGGATATAGCTCAGTGGTAGTGAGGGAGGAGGAAGAGGAAGAGGAGGAGGAGAAGGAGGGAGAGGAGGAGGAGGAGGAAGAGGAGGAAGAGGAGGAGGAAGAGAAACAGGAAAACATTTACAAATTAATGACATTGTTTGAAAACTGTATAGGTATCCTTGGCTATACAACTGGATGAAGGGCAACTCAAAGTACAGGAAACTTTGTATCAATGAACAAACAAATTCTGATTGAGAACCAGGAATGATACTGTAGCAACTGTGGCTCTTGGCCAGCCTGAGCTACAGAATGACACCTGTCTCAAAAAGTTTCAAAGCTCAGAATTATACACAGAAAAGGTAGGTGGTCTGTTTTAAGGACACCACTGTTGGTATACAGGACAGATCTAAGCAGACACTGAAAGAAAGGAGGCCAGAGGGAGGCATGGACAATAGTTCCTCTGAGACTCATGGCGTTAGCACTTGGGAGCTGAGGCAGGTGGGTCACAAATTTGAGGCCAGCCTGAGCTATATAATGAGATCCTGTTTTAAAAAAATAAGTTAATTTATTACCTCAATGTAATTAAAAATATTTTAGGTAAGTCAACAAAGACCTGAACTAGGACACCACTGGCATGGATTGAATTGGTGACAGAGCAAATAAACTCTTAGCTAAGTTTAAATATTCATGTTTGAGGCTGGGCATGTGCTTAGCATGCACAAAGCTCTGGGGTTGAGCCTTAGAGTAAGATAATTAAATACAAAAATAAGGAATAACTGAACTCCTTGAGTCTTACTGGTTGTGTCTCTTTAGGAAAGTTATTTTATGTCTCTGAGCTTTCATTTGTTCATCTGAAAAATGGGAACACAACTTCCCAGACAGTTGGAAGTAACTGACAAAATTAAACGAAATTATATCAACACCTCATTGAAAACTGGTATAAAACAGGCAGTCAACAAATATGAGTTCCCCTCTCTTTCCACTGTCCCTCAAACATTATCTCTTCCTATCTTCTTTGGTAGGTTCTGAGCTCCCGGAAGTGAGAGGCCATCTCCTCTCCTCTCATTTCTGTGTCATCATAGCACCCATATATAAGATCCATCCAATCCACGTGTACTGGGGTAATAAAGGGTGAGTTAGTGCCCTATTGTGAGGACTCTGTCCTTAGGTAAAAGCTGACCCTGGCTCTCAGATCAGCTTCAAGATTGAAGTGGTTTGATCACAAGCAGAGAAAGTCCACAATGGCCTCTATAAATGCTGTAAAACACCTCAGAGGGGGTGGGACTCCTGCTGAGTGAGCAGGAGCAGCAGGAGCAGGAGCAGCAGCTTTGTCCTGTGGAGGGGAACCAGTGTATGACTGACTTCTATGCACTGGGCCTTCTGGGGTGACAGAAGCAGAGCGCCTTTGCAGCTTCTTCGTGCTTCACCGTCAGTTACAGCTTTGCTGCTGTGCTGCTGTCAGTATCTTTGTGTGCGACAGACACTGCCAATGGGTTTATTCTCTGTGATGCCCCATCCAGGTTCACTAAGCCCTGGATCAACTGAGACAGGTCCCGTGCTGGTGAAGGCTTAGGAGTCTCAGATTCCATACATCATCTGGTCACAGAGCTCTGTCTCCTTGGCTCCTACTTCAAAGGTAGGGCCTACCTCTACTTAGGGGAATATAAGCTTTTGATATTCCTCTGCCTCCTCTAAGGGTGGGGGGGTATGTGTAGAGGGGGGATAGTGTTGGAAATAATTTACACAAAATGCCTTTGCTAAGGAAGATCACTGAAGTGGCATTTCCACAGAGGTGCTTATGGGAGCTGGGGTAGCACTAGACAAATGCAGGGCTGGTCCCAACATCTGCTTCTCCCATACCTCAGCTTGATTCAGAATGGAATCCAAACCATATGCAAATAACCCTCCCAAGGCAGTCTCATTAATTTAGCCAATTAAAGAAATTTTACATATATATATGAATGGCTCCAGCTACCATTTGTGTCACTGTGTGTTCACACTGTGTGCTCACACTGTGTGCTCACACAGCTTGCAAATCTCCCAATACTCCAGAGACTGCAGAAGTTATTTGTACCCTGATCTTGGACCTGGGACCTTGCAGCACAATTAAATGTGTATCAGGGTAGACACGTCAGCTGGAGTCTCTGTACATGCTTACTTTACTTCCCTTTGGGAAGATCGCAGTGGGGTGTTGGTTAGCTAGACTATTGGCACATGTGAGCCTTCAAGAAATTCAGGCTCCATGGAACAGATCGTCTAATTACAGGAGCATTCCTCGACCCAAGACACTGCTCTGTGAACCTCCCACTTCACACACAGAGAATTCTGCTCTGTCACTGCGTCTGCAGTTTCTGCTGCAGCCCTTCCTGCCATCCTTCCTGCAGATTCCTTTTGAAGCAGGCGGAGGGAAGGCAGAAGCTAGAGGGTGGTGGTAGATGAAGAGAGGGTAGAGGGGAAGAGGATCCACAAAAGACGCCATTCTCAGAGCAGGGAACAGGGGATATATTTTTGCATTACCTAGGGAAGGCAGATGGGGGAGAAATAGGAACATGGAGGAGAAGGAAACTAAATAAAGAGCACCAACGACCCCTGAGGGCAAAGCCCAGGCTCTGAGGCACTCACTCAGGCTGCCCAGCTGTCGGATGACATTTGCCAGGGTGATGTTGGTCCTGCATTCCAGCTCGCTTGTATCGCTAGGCAACGTCTGACGGCACAGGTGCCTTGGCTCGATGTTCCTGGTTACTAACGGCATAGTGGGCCTGCTTCAGGCAAGGTTCTCAGTGATGAAAAACAACCTAAAAGAGAAATAACAGGAAAATAATACTCAACCACAGATCCCAGGCACACAGGGGCAATGTGAGTCTCTTCCTTTTCTTTTTTGGTATTGATCTGATCTGAAACAGTTTTTTAAAACCCTTTACTCCCCTTCCTAGTTTCTAGTTCAGGCAGATCATCTTCTTTTCAAGGTTCACTAAGAAGTCTTGCTATGAGTTTACAAATTCTGAACTGGTGACGTCATGAAGGCAGCATGGAACCTTAAAGTAGCAATTACTGCTCTAACCAATAAGAAACCTCCAGGCAAGGAGGCATGATCAGAAAATAGTAGCCACAAGTATCCACATAGTAGCCACATCAATAGAAATCAGATTCTAGGCCATCAGCTACAAAGTTCAAAAACAAAAAATGACCTCTGTGGCAGGGGATGCTACCCAGCTGGTATGGCATTTGCCTAGCATACACAAGATGTAGGTCTGACGCCCCGCCCCTAACATGTCATAAACTGGACATGGTGATACACACCTGTAATCCCAGCATTTGGAGGACAGAGGAGGGAGGAGTATGAGAAGTTTATGACCTTTCTCAGCTAAACAGAGTGTAAGGTCAGACTATACGAGCAGATTTGCCTTTGTCTGGTTATCTCCACAATGAAGTCAGCTGCCAACAGCGATCCCACTGGTAAGTCTCTTGGCTATAACTTCTCTCTCTAGGTATTCCTGGATGGTGACTGTTAATGTACAACTAAATACTAGCTGCCAGGTTCTATTAACACTACCAAAGTTTAGTCTGTAAATTGACAGAATGAAGGAAAATTTTACATGTTCAATATGTCAAACAAAATGCTAAGCCAAGTGTGCTTTAAGATTCCCTGGCCCTCTCTTCTACCCAGTGTTCCTCTCCCGGAGTCTATACACCTGGTCCAAAGGCCAAGAGCAACAGCAGTATGCATCTGGAACAGATGCAGACACCCTCCTATTGCTGCTTTTTATTCTGGTGGCTTAGCCCTTCCCCAACACATCAGCACAGGCTCACAGGGAGCTATCATGTTAGATTTAGATTACCAAAGACGCCCTCCTCCTCCCAGACCAGGGTTCTCTGTATAGTCCTGACTGTCCTGGAACCCACTATGTAGACCAGGCTGGCCTTTAACTCAGAGATCTGCCTACCTCTGCCTCTCAAGTGCTGGGATTAAAGGTGTATGCCACCACCGCCAAACATTAGGAGGTTTTATTCTCAACAAGGTATGGCTAGAACAGCCAAGTCATGGTGGACAGGTCTTGTTTTTGTATCTTAGAAAACCATAAAGAAATCTAAAATATCTTAACAGCCTTTGTGCTATTTTACATCAAATGAAAAAGTACAGAAGCAACTACAGAAACTCAACTATAAATTCCAAAGAAGAGAAAAAACTCTCCTCCTGTTCCTCCTCCTCCTCAAGTTTACTCACATCAAATCCTAAAACACCAGCTTATCACCAGGCAGGCTGCCTGCAAATACAAACCGCTTATGGCCAAGCTAATCACTATAGAGATGAAAAGGAAACCAACAAATTGTTGCACCAAAATGAAACAAAAACCCTAAACTAACAAATACAGAGAGAGAGAGGCAGTGGAACCTCTTGGAACAGGCTGCTCCTTGTTATGGACATTCTGATCTGCTACAAGTAAAAATAAAACAGGAAGCCAGCAGCCTGGGGAACAAGATTTCCTGTCACCAAGAGCAACAGTATAGGAACTAAAAGAACCAGCTGTTTGCTTCTAACTTTGAACCTCTCTAACGGTCACTGTGAGGCAGCTGTGCCTATCTTTGGGGTGCAGAGGTGTTTCCTAAATACTTGTCCAGTGCCTTCGGAAATGACTTCCATTCCATTTCTCTGCTAAGATCCTCCTTTGATCCAACAGGTTTTTAACACAAACTCCAGACTTTCCAGTTTAACTCTTCTACTTAAAGCAAACAATACAAGGTACTAAGATGCACACCTACACTTAATAACACATGGTGATTGGTGAATCTAGAATATGGTAAAAAGAATCTAGGAAAGGAAAGAAGGCAGGAGGTTAACGGAAGAATGTTGGGCCAGTGAGATGGCTAAACATGCTGCCAAACCTGATAACTTCAGTTCAATCACAAGCTTCTGAGGCCGGAGACAACAGCTCTGTGGCTAAGAGTACTTATTGCTCTTGCAGAGAACTGGGTGTGGCTCACATCTGTAACTCCAGTTTCTGATGCCTTCTTCTGACCTCCATGTGTACTAGGCATGCAGGAATTACATGTATGTATATAGGCAAAACACACATATAGGCAAGTTGTCCTCTGACACCTTCATATGTGTGCTGTGGCATGTGTGTGCAATATATGTGTGTGTGTAGGCAAAACAATAATATATGTAAAATAAATCTTTAAAAATAAAAGTCAGAGAGAATGAAAGAAATGTTAATATCCGTCAAGACAAAACAATCAGAAAAACAGATATGCTACTTCTTTTAAAAAGACTTTGGCTGGGTGGTGATGGCTCACACCTGTAACCCCGGCGCTTGGGAGGCAGAGGCCAGGCTGGGTGGTGATGGCTCACACCTGTAACCCCGGCGCTTGGGAGGCAGAGGCCAGGCTGGGTGGTGATGGCTCACACCTTTAACCCCGGCGCTTGGGAGGCAGAGGCCAGCCTGGTCTACAGAGTGAGTTCCAGGACAGCCAGGGCTACACAGAGAAACCCTGTCTCCCTGTCTCGAAATAAAAAAAAAAAGATTTTGTTGTTTTGTTTTGACCAGGTGTGGTGGCCTATGCTTTTAATCTCAGCACTCAGGAGGCAAGGCAGTAGTCTTTGTGTGTTGGAGGCCAGCCTGGTCTATATAACAAGTTCCAAGACAGCCAAAGCTTGATAAACACGGTTTCAACACAAACAAAAAACATTTCTGGGCCTGGAGAAAAGACTCAGAAGTTAAGAGCATATGTTGCTCTTCCAGACACTGGTTCAAGTCCCAGCACCCACCTACTTGTTCACAACCATCTGTAATTCTACTTCCAGGGGATCTGATGCCTTCTTCTGGCCTCTGAGGTCATTGTACTCACAGTGCACAGACACACATGCAGGCAAAATGCCCACATCCATAAAATAAAGATAAAAGTAAAATAAATATGGGGGATAGAAAGGAGATTTTTTTTCAAAAGACACCAAAAGAGACAAGATACCCTGCTATATGGAAGTGTACCTGTACCCAGTGCTCATTTTTCTTTTAGATAACCAAGGACTGGTTATCTTCTGTGGGAGAATATGAAATTACGCATAACCTGAAACACACGTAATTTGACAAAAGAAAAAAAATCCTACATTTGAATGATGATAAAGTTAGAAATGGCAAACAGACTTTAGTCTTTAGACTCTCCCTGTCCTAGTTCTAACTGTAGAAAATACAAGGCTCCTAGAGTCAGGACATACATGAGTTGGTCTCTCGACTCTGATACCTCATAATTGTTATCTTCAACAATTTTCCTATAGACATTAAAAAATATACCCAAAATGCCCTCTATAGAGCTTAAAAGGATGGGATAGTTATTTGTAGTTCCACAGGTCGTAGGCAAATCTCCCTGTTGAATGAATTCTATTCATTGATAAATATTTAAAAACACTTTAAACCATGGACATATTACATAGTTGAATGCAACATTCACATAAAAAATTTAAAGATGAAACCCTAGACTTCAATGAATTTGATGGGTTTTCCCCTGAAGTTGCCCCTAGCTACACGCTCAGACCTCCCGAAACACAACCCTCTCTCCTCCAGTCTCTCTCAACCGTGCTCCTGGTCTGAAGCACAGAACAAAGGGAATGATTAGAGCGACTGTTCCCTCAATTTTCTTGCAGACTGTACTTAAGAAGCCACTGTGGATGCCTGGAGAAGTCAGTCCCTCACACACAAGGTGCCCGATGACATGAGGCTTCCGTTCTCTTGTGGGCTCTAGTCAAGACGTCTCCTCTAACAGCAGGAGTACTGTTTTATGGGAAACTCGGAGAACACTGGCTGTTGAGGAACCACTGAAGCAAAGGTTCTAACTTATATTTTACACAGATTATTTGTGTAAGGACAAAGGTTACCCCAGGCAGAAGGCTGGAGGTTCAGCAGAAAGTAGACTGAGACCCACCATATGCCAGCGAGCACTGCCTGAGAACCTAGAGTGCTGCAGGATGAGTCTACCCATCTGCCCCACCTGTTCTTCCCATCCTGTCCTGTACGACACAGCCAAAGTGATAACATGGGTGGATGCTCCTTTAGTTAAAGGTGCCATTAAACCCTAAATGCTAGTGCTGAAGGGAAATATAAACAAAGTAAGGAGAACCAAAAGTCCAGAAAAAGAAGTCATGAAGGCTGAGGGTAGAGCTTGGAGGAGAAGTACTTGGCTATGTGTACTAGGCCCTGGGTTTGATCCCCAACATCATTTAAAAAAAATTTTTTTTTAAGTTCTAAATACAGGAAAGGAGTGGAATGCCTTGTTTTTAATAGAATCAGTAAATGTCTTTTCCAGTCATGTGTTAACTTTTTTAATTGGGGGAGGTGCTTGTGAGATGTAAGAGGGAGTGTGTGCATGTGCACACAAGCTAAGGAGGGCACAGGAGTCTTCCTCTATTACATTCACCTTATTCTCTTGAGACAGTCTCTTCCTGAACCTGAAGCTTGCTGCTGTGAATAGCCTGGCTGGTCAGTGAGCATCCTAGGATCCTGTCTCCACCCTACAATGCTGGGGTTACATGCATGCATGGACATGCTCTGGCTTTTTTACAAGGTACTGGAAACTGGAACCCTGGTTCTTATACAAGCATAGTAAGAGCTCTTACCCACCAAGCCCCCGTCCAGCCCTTTAGTCATATGTTAGTTTTTATTAGGAAAATTACATAATATAACAATGGTTGCTAATCTTTAGACTTGAGAAGGTCTTATCTTGAGAGTGTTACACAGAAAATGAGTTAGAACTATCAAAAGCATAAAAGTTAAAGAGAAGTAAATTTCAGTCTATCTAGTTC